TTATCATAATTGAATAAAAAATGCTTTTTTCATGGTGCTTATTTGTCATTGCCCTCCAAAACCACCTATATGAGCTTCATACTGGGGGTTAGGCAACTGAATCTAATTGGTTATGGTCAGGGAAAACTGGTCTTGGTAAAGAGAAACTGTGAAAATGTAAATATAGGTGGTTTGAGGCATTGACACAAAATGTGAGATAGACAAATCTGTGACAATCACATATAAACAATAAACAACATAGGTTGTAATATCATTCAATGTGGACTAAATGTGTAAAATTCAGAGACATTTAAGTTTATAATTAGGGTCCAAAATGTCATAGTAACTTGTGCACATGTCTGATGTGAACAGAACACCTTTTGATTTGTTTTTATTATGCCATTTGAAAATTATTGAGATATATATGAGATTGACTCTGCAAGATCTGGTTAAAAGAATGTATCAATTGTGTTACATGGATTTGGGGAAATCAAAATTTTTAAGGAGTGAAATGCATAAAAATATTAATAACTATTATTATTATTATTAAATAGTGTTTTTAAAGCTTTCTGAAAATGACAAAAGTACAAAGAAGTCTGACTGTGCTGCACCCAATCCTCAATCCTTAAAGCTCATATGTACATGAAGAAGATTTATATCAGTTATCACCCAACTGTATTCATTTGACTTTGGTTTACTCTCCTGATAGGAGTGACTTGGATTCTTTTAATCTTCTTCAACAACTGATCACAGGTGGAGTGAATGAAACCTTGTCGTTACTAAGCTCCCCGCTAATGGAGGAGGAGGTGCTGTTGCTTACTTACATCAAATAATCTCTCTATGTACACCTCCTCATTGACCTTGTCGCGCAGCATGTCCTGGGAATGGCGAACAAATGTCACATAGCCATCAGCAACGTCCATCCCCGGCTTCTACAAGGGAGAGAGAGAAATCAGGAATTTGCATTTGCATGCTATGGCTTCAATTAAGAGCTAGAACGAGTAGAGTAGCAATCAGAAGTCTGTCGCCTGTCGATGGCATCATATC